GTCAACCACATTTGAAAACAATTAATAAATCTTGTTTTCTTAGATCCAATTCAAGGATATCATCTCACTTGATTGAAAATCCTTCTCTTGTTTCTTAGGTTTCATTTTTTACAAAACTAAAATTTTAAAAATTCACAAACCTCTGATACTTCAAACTAGCCATAGGATTACCAACCTAGAACATTCACATTTTTTTTAAATTAGCTAGTTCTTTGTGGGATCGATGTCTTCTCAAAAATTCATATACTACTTGGTCGGCATGTATATTTGTGTGGTAAACGCGTACTTCACAATAGTGCAGAACACACTGACATCTTATGCCTATAAAAAGGAATAGAACTTCCAAAAGACTTCACAATAAAATGAGTATTCATTTACAGTTATGGACAAGCAGACGAATCTTATTGTTGTTGTTAAAATCATGATAAAAGAGCTAAAAGGAATTTGAAATACACTGAAGAACAATAAAACCATGATAATTTTTCACTTTGAAATACGAAAAAAAAATTTAATTTACATATATATTAAATTCTAAAATAGCCCCCGAACTATTCGTGTGTAGCAGATATAGCCACACAGTTCCCTAAATTAACCCCTCAACCAAACAAAATTGACCCAAATCATTGGATCAATTTTGTACAGCTATGGAATCAAATTAGATAAATATGATACTTTGAAATTAAATTGGTCGTATACAAATAATCGGATTACTGTTTTGGAGTTCAACCCATTCTGGATATTTTAAAAAAAAACTTGTTTTGTAATCCACCACCAAATTTATGTAAACAACTAGGGGATCGTTTTATCAATTACCTTGTCAATTTCTTTCAAATCATCCTACACCATCAAGTTTAGAATATGAGCAGTAAAACGAACATTAAAAAAATCACCCATGAAAAGAAAATCAAACTTTCTACTAAGCAATCTCTTAAAATTTATAGCAGCCACATCATTCAATGATATACTATACAAAGTAATTATATTTATTTTATTTTTTAAACCCCATTGTAAAATCAACTTTAAGAAATAGCTTTAAAAATCACAAGCTCAATATGTTGAATATCTAACTCATTAAAGCTAATGATCCTAGAATGCAACTTATAATCAAAACTAATAGAATGCACAGTAAGACATGTAACCAATCAGTTGGTTTCATATCCAACAATCACTAGTAAGTAAAACTCTCTTAATTGCTTTTAAATTTATTTTAAGTTTCTCTTCCTCAATGTCATACACTTTGATATATTCTTCCCTGATAGCAAATCTGAAAATTTTACGATGAGAAAGTATTCATTGGTTTCATCAAATGTTAAACCACAGATTAGGGGTATAAATGAGCCAAGCTGACTTAAGCTCGTGAACCGAGTTATCAAGACACGAGCTTGAGCTCGAGCTCAGACTTCAGCTCGTTTATTAAACGAGCTCGAGTTTGTCCTAGCTCGACTTGTTGGCTCATGAGTCAGCTCGATTAGCCTGTCGTTAGTAATTTCGATACATTTTATGGTGTGTTTTCGCTGAATCGTCCTATTCCTCCGGCCACAAATACATTTTAGGGTCATCTAATGTAAAAATTATATTTTTAGTTCGAGCTCGCGAGCCGGTTTGCAAGCAGGCTGCTACCTTTACGAACCAAGCTCGAGCTCGCTATTCTAACTCGACTCAAGCTCGAGCTCACAAGTTGGTAAACAAACCGAGCTCGATAAGGGCATGACTCAAGCTTGACTATATCATTACCGCCACCCTGAGTAAGTATTTTATGGAGAAATGTAATTCACGTTGATTCAGGAGTTATGGTGGATTGCTTCCAGTGATACTACCACTTGTAAAAGTAGCTTATATATATTCCCCATGTTTCACAACTATATTTTCAAAATAAATTAAGATAAAATTTTGAATTACCGATCAAAATTAGAATGACTTTATGTCTAACCTGAGAAATATAAAATTTATAAATAAATGGCTGAGATATGTGATTTGCCCATCTTTTATTCAAAAAAAAATTCAGATTTCTGCTTTCAGTTTTGTGTGATTGTTGGGAATGGAATTCCTTCAAATTCGATTCATGTGCAATACTCAACCTCTATGAACCATTCTCTTTGTATTTGTGCGAGATTCAGATCTTCTTAACTCTAGTGATCTCTTACATTTATTTATCTTCTTAGTTGGTTTTTCTATGTTGCAAAAATCATGAATTTAGTCAAAATTATTACAACTGAAATTTCAATTGCCTACCATATTTTATGGATCATTTTTTTGTTGATTTGTTTAATTTAATTAATAGTTACTCTATCTTAGAATTTCAACTTTTACATATTTCTGAATTTACACATAAAGAAGATAAATTATTGTGCAATTAGTTGTAGTTCAGTAAATTCTTATTTATATTTATTGCATCATACTAATTTTCTTGGATCAAAAACCACAAGGAACCTGATCCAGAATTAGGCTGACAAGGTTTTGACCTAATCCACAGCAAACTGATCCATAGCCTACTAGCCAAACTCCATCTACACAAATACCCCCTTTTTTTAAATAAAATCAAAAAACATTAACTATATATGGTAAGAGTGCGTCGAGGGCATTTACATGCCAGAGTAAAATGAAAATTACAGCAACAAAGCTTGAAACCTAGTGACAAACGATGAACGACAATAAATTTTTCTCTAACTCTTGTCCTTTCTAGCATAAAAAATATGAAAGCTTTTATCCACCAAAGAGTGATACTCAAAATGCTCCGAACAAATCAAAAAGCCTGTTGTGATAATCAATAGTCATTTTGATCACCAATGAGAAGAGATTGACGTGCTTCAAATTTTTACAAATTTGTTGTTTTTCTTTTTGAATCAATTCATTTTTTTTTTTTTATGTGAATGTTTATTTATCATATTACATCTTGTCTTATTGAGTGATTTGATATAATTAGTTGAAGGTTCAAATGCGGGCAATTTCATTTAATTGAGTTTCTTTATATTAATGAATTTTGTTATACGGTTTAAAATTTATTAATATTATATTTTTCAAATGAATGTGTTAGTCACATGTTATAGGGTCTTAACCTAAATATTTGTCCTACATCTTCTACCCTAGGGCTTCTCTTTTCAAATATATAAAAAAATGCAATAAATAAAAGAGGAATAGCATTATCATATATTTAAACAAAGCAAATATAATCAAATGTGGTCAATAAGCAAGGAATAGAACATACCTGGTGTCTTCCAAGCTATTTCAAGTAGTTTTTCTAAAGAATCATAATACATGAGTTCATAACAATTAATGTATATATGTTAACTTTGAAATATGAATAAGAAAATGAAAATCATTATGTAAGGTTGCTAAAAGAAACTATGAGACCCTCCTCAGTTGGACATTGTAACCAAAGAGGATTCTCGAGTAAGGGTAGCCACGAAATGTGTCATCCAGAAGAAGGGCAAAGAGCTTCTTAAGCAACCTTACATATGAAGCAATAATAAAAGGGTCTACTTTCAATCCACTTAATTCTTAGTTTTGTATATGTGACACCTAAACTTCAAAATTTACATTCATACCATTCAACTTTTAATAAAACTATATTTCTTAAAATTAAGGTTAAGAAAGCTTTGTGTATAAAGTAAAGTATCAAAAGCATAAATGTTTAAACCTTTGTATAATTACCTTCAAGCAAGTAAGAGAATCTGAAATTCTATTATCAATTTAAACTGTTAAACATATGAATACAATGTTAATTCAAAAGAATCTAAAATTATACATATGATTTCAAGTGCTAAGACATGCAAATATATAGATAATTGCAGTTTCATATAAAATATTATATATTTATATTTATACATTATCTATGCAATTGTATCCAAGAAAGCTGCATGCTTACTTTATAGTTTAGATATTTTATATATAAATGCATTCAGATTTAAGAATCACTATACTGATTTTGAGAGATTATACATTATATATATAAATATATATTAGGATTTAAAGACATGTACTCATTTGACAGTTTAGAAGTTATTTATGTATCAACATAATAAATTTAAACCTGTGTTATGTCATCTAAATTCAAACCTGATACATGTAAATTCATAACAAATGAGAAAGTTCGTATATGTCACATGTTTGAAATCTATGAATATTAAACAATTTGAAAGCACATAGTTGATAGAAAGAAATATTATATATGTAAATACAGCCAAATTACAAAATCTGAAATTATTCAGCAAATTTTTAATGCTATGCATCCAAATACACCATAATTTAATGAATTAAAAGATTTATAGCATCACTTTTGCATTTAGGTGTCAGATTTGTGAATACTCATAGAATTGAAGAATCTGTAGTTTACTTTTAAAATGAAGATGTCATGTGCATATTAAGATTTTAATAGTAAATACGTATTAGAAATTATATGCATCATATATAAAAATGTAATAATCTAACAACACACAAAGGCTTTTAAAGTTAAATATTCTATGCATGAATATTTAAAAATTGAATGGCATGTATATAAACTTTCACAAATTTAGTGGCACGTATATAAAAACTTAAGAATTGTTGGTATACATCTAACTCTTCAAGGGTAAGTATGATGTGAAAAATTTGAGGAGAAGAGTGAAGGCTTTGATAAGCTTTCAAAAAGCAGACGGCCAACCAAAAGAAAGGATAAGAAACAAAACAAAAGCCCTTATGGATTTTCTGAAATATATTCAAATCTCTTAAACACTGAATCATTGAATCCCAACTAGTTTATTTTGCTATGAAATAGATTTGGAAATTAGAGCATAATTCTGTAATGAAACAGCATCCATAAAAAGAAAGAACTCAGTGTTCAATATTTTCTGCCATTTTTATTTCAACCATAAAGCAAATTGCAACTTCATCATTGATAATAAAGAATTCAATCATACATTCCTTAACAAATTTCAATTCATCACAAGAAATAAATTATTGCGGTTTGAATAATCGGAGAAAGAAGAATTTCTTACAGCTCAAACAATCGAAGAATTCCTTACGGTTTCGGATGATCGAAGGAAGGAAAAGCTCCTCACGGCTCACGATTGAACGAGGAAGAAGATCCTCGGCTCAAACGATCGGAGGAGGAAGAACCCTTGCGTGCGATCCTAAGGACAGAAGAGCATTCGATAATGAATGATAAAGGAGGCGGCCAAATAAAAATGAACCGAGTTTAGGGCTAAGGAGGCAGGTTTCAGGCGAAATCAGGTGAGGAGCAGAAGGGCGAGGGTCTTGGTAGAGAAGGAGAAGCCGAGTGAGGGTTTTGGGCGGGCGAAAAATTATTCCATGCGGACCGATCTCCACCGTCCATTAACTTTTTTTTATTTATTTATTAAAAATATGGTGTACCGTACACATTTCTGGATATAGTCTCTAAATTTTAAAAAAAAATTAACTATTTATATAAATCGATTTATTTCAAAAATTTGTGTTAATATTAATTTATTGTTTGATTTTTCTATAAAAATATAATTATTTTAATATTATTTATTATTTATTTCAATCCTGCTTTAAATTTATGTGGAGTCATATGATATTTTTCTCATTCAATTTTGAGTTATTTTATAATATGGATTAATTATATTTTAAACTTATTTTGTATATTATTTTAATTTTATATTTACATTTTATTTCTATTAATTAAAGTTGTTAATTTTTTTTATTTAAAATAGCTTTAGATTTTTTTAAGTTTAAAACTCCCTTATTATTCTTATTTAAGTACAAATTTGTTAGAGATTTAATTTTATTTATGTTTAGTTATAAATTTAATTAGGATTATATGATTTGATTGATTTTTTTAGATGTAGTTTCCTTTATTGATTTTAATATAAATTTACATTTTCTTTATGTCTTTAATTCCAACTTTAAATCTTATTTTTTATTTCAATTAATTAATTTCTTATTTTTGTTTCAATTTAACTCGATCATGGAGCTCATCTTGAACTAAAAGCGTGAATTAAGAACAAATATTAAGTCTTATTGAAAGGATCTTACAAGGTTGAAAGGTACTTAAACTATAGAATCAAGTCTCCGAGCTTGAAAATGTTGCTTAGGGCATCTCCAAACATATAGAAATTGAACTCGAGCTTCGATAATTTGGCCCCAATTAACTCAACCAAAGTTTGAAGATTGAACATCAAATACATGAAACCAATATAAGTCACAAAATTGCTTAATTTATAATTGGTATGGATCCCAGCACGAGTCATCTAGGCGTTGTTACTAGCAAATCCTAAGTCTAAATCATATGCTCTAGAGAGAGAAAGAGTCTGGCCCCATAAAATGAGGTCAACACATACATTTTAAGGACATCATCATGTTATGATCATAGTAGAATAAAATATATTGTGATTATGATGATGGTTGTTTGTGAATACACATTCATGGCAGTTGAATAACTATGGTAGGAGTGTAAATGAATCTAGCCTATCTCGATTCATGCCCTTATCGAGCTCGACTTGTTTACCAAATTATGAGCTTGAGCTCGAGTCAACCTTAGCTCGTAAAGGTAATAGCCTAATCACGAGCCGTCTCGCGGGCTTGAACTAAATATATCATTTTTTCAGTAGATGACTGGTAAAGGTATTGGTGGTTGGAGGAATGGGAGGATGTAGTGAAATCTCACCAAGAAAAATATGTATATATATATATATATA